CTTTTTGGGTTCTTGAACGATATATATGTAATCAAACCTGATTCAGTCTGTCAGCTGCAGACTGAATATATTTTACTCAAAATGTATTAAAAGTGTAGTACTGATGATAAACACTATATTTACATATATAAATATTTATATATTTGATTGAAGTAAGTGGATTTATTCAGATTCAGAAATCAATTTAATACTTAAAAGATGACTGGGATTGTCAGATTGCAGAGATATACTTAAAATGTTAATATTATGAATTTGTCATTGGGGAATTAACATGCTAACGATTTTATTATTAGCTTCCCACCCTGCACTGTGAATGTTTACACAGTGTGTTCAGCAGCCTTTTGTATTGAAATGACAGCTGGCAGCAGAGGAGAGAAAAGATTTTAAAGTTTGATATTGACTTCATGATTGGCTGTGCTGACTGTGGTAAGATCTGATTGGAAAAAACTAAGGGAGAACACCATAGTCAGCTGTTAGTGGGTGCAGAGAGAGAGAGAGTTATCAATGAATGACGCATAAAGGTAGTCCTGGTCAAACTTATGCTAAGCTACATGTGTTCTGCTAAATATAATCACTTATATCTTGAAAACTAAACCACTCTGTCCAAAGGGGCTAATGATTTATCTGCCTTGTTCAAAGAGGTCACATTATGCTCATTTTATTCAGAGGTTGTACTGTACCTGCCCCATCCAGGTTGTTCACGACAAGTGACGCTGACGAGCTACATTCAGAACACGGCTGCTTGAAAAGCACCCGAGCTTCTCTTCTCCCTCCTCTCTCTGCGCCGACGGGAACAGGTGAGCGTCACGTAGCGCCCAAGAACCTGATATGGAGAGGGCAGAGCAGAGGACAGGTGTGACGCCAAAATGTGTGACCTATCAGATTCTGTGACCCAAAGGGAACCGACAGCTTGGGAGAAGTCCCGGTACGCCAAAGTGTAAAGTAAAGTGTGCACATTGCTGCAGCTCTTCTTTTCACCCTGTGTGAAGAGCAGCTCCATTAGATAAGATTTTGTCTCAGGCACCTGATTACTTTTGAAGACTTTGAATGGAAGCTGATTTCTAACTCTCTCAAACGTTCGCCCACAGCCAACACAAACTCTTGCAATTCCACCTTTTATAGGCTGCATAGACTTTAAATGACACCTCAAAAGCTCCTACAAACAGTAGGTACAACAGTACTTTTCAAACGTAGTTGATTTATTTAAATATAGCATTCAACAGTAACTATATAGGCTACACTTAAAAAGTTAAGACAGAGTAGAGTTCAGTCGGCCAGCAGAAATAGCCCAGTATGAGCTGGCCTCTCTACTGTATCTCTGAACTCCACCAAGTCACACACATCTAGGCTATTCTATGGGATCTCCTTTTGATAGATAGTCTGTGTTTTCGCTCACAGGAAATTTGTCTTCACAGTCTGTACAAAACCTCAAGCATACCTAACATACACATAAGTTTAGCAAGCAGCATACACAAAAAAACCCAGATAACATTTACTTTAGTGGTGCTACTGCAGAAGGCGCAACACTTTTACTGTAGCTGACCCGTTTCCAGGCCAGGGACGGGTATCTGCGACCTGATGGAGGCAGAGAGGGTGTGACTGTGGTCATGTGCAATAGTATGTGCTTTTGGTGGCATTACCGTTGAGATCTGGTAGGTTGAGGGTGTTAAGGCCAATTATTTTTGATGCATCAGTTTGTTCAGTCCAAGTTGGGAGGGGCTGCTCGTATCTGCCCACAATATTAAAAGCCTGGTCGAGGATAAATTGAAAATGAAAAACTCAATGACCACCGTCCGGTTCTGCCCAGTAAACACTTTCTGAATGAGGTTATCGTCGCTAGTTTCAAGTGTTTTTCAGTAAATCACGATATTCATGTAGTAAATGATGGTCCCATTTAGAGGAAAATAGAGCAGAAAGCAGGGGAGGCTTTAGGGCGGGGCTACCTTGTGACGGACAAGTCACTAACATGGCGACCTGTCAATCAGAATAGAGGCGAATTGTTTCTGCTGCGTCAGCGCCGTTGAAAAAGCTTATTAGGCTATTTTTCGCTAACCAAAATTAGCTTCCCGGTTAAAATCACAGTTAATGTGAATTACAGTCACACCTTGCTAAACAAGCTGGCTGGCGCCCACTCCCTCGTCCAAATATGGTAATTTCTGGTTCCAATAAACCAAGATGGCGACAGGCAAAATGCTAAACTTGAGGCTTCAAAACGGTATTCAACAAACCAACAGGTGACGTGACCGTGGCTAGGTCCATTTTTTTAATACCGTCTTTTGTCCTACCTTGAAGAGACTTCCGTATAATCTCAAATATTTGTTAGTTTAGAGATCTTTAATGCTGGTTTTACTCCCAAGCCAAATATTTAAAACTAGATCAGTGCAACAGTGTAACAATTCAGGAATAATTAGCAAAGGAGTTCTTAAATCGTAGTAGAATTAACGATTCTGAAAAGTCAGGGCTGATTCATAACCAATGTGATTTTATTTTAATTTATTATTTTTTATTGATGCTTGCATTGAATTGAGACTTGCTGCAGATAATCACCGACAATCAACATTATGTTTCCTTGAGGATGTTTTAAAGTCTACAAGATTATGGCTACCTCACACACACACACAATTGGAAAGAAGCTTTAGCGCTTAGTTCAGTATATGTGATTTGTAGTAAATGAGCTAAAATGTAAAAAGTATGTTCAATTAAGTAGTCACCAGGTTTAGCCTGCAGTAATGTTTTTTTAAGTGAGTGATACTCATGGATCATTTAAAGCAAGTGGTGTGACTCAAAGTCCTGCTTATATTCATACTATATTGATAAATATAAGTTTTATTCTTAAACAGCTTCTAAAAGGCATTTTTTATGTCATTATAAAATATGCTAACTTACTGACTGATTGGACTGATGAGGAGTTTCATCTGTTTTTTATCTAAGATTAAATTAATACCGTTGTTTGCTGTAAGCAGCAAATGTCTGGTATTTTATGGATTAGTGATCCGTCTGTTGTTAAACTATATTTATTAAATGAATATTGAACAGCACTGACATGTTAATATTTTTGGTGTGTCCCTCATCTGATTAAAAGCACGACTAATTCATGTGGCACGAAAAGTGTTTAATTTGCCTTTCTGAAACCTGGATGTGACTAAAAGGCAGCAACAGCGTCCTTATTTTGGAGCACCACCTGAATGCACCATCTACTGTCAAACATAAAGTACAGTGAAGGAGAAGGAAGCAGCAACAGTTCAACTAGCTGAGTTTTAAAACATGAAGGGAGTCGGCTTTGTGTTTAAAATGTATTTGGTCGCAGTTTGCATCCTGCTCAGGACGGGACTGATGGTGAATAGCGGTAAGTTAAGAGTTTTCTGAGGTGTTATGTGAAGCATGAGAAGGTAAAAATAGGAAAATAATTGATTTTAGAAATTAATTTCCACCCAGCTGACACGCCTAAGATACTAAGCAATGACATCAAGTCGAAATATGAGAAATTAGATGAATATGTTTGATGCAGACTTGCATACAGATCGTATCTTCACTGTATATATAAAAAATATGTTAAAAAATTATTCAATCATTAAAATGAACTACTGGTTTTCTCCCAATAAGTTATAATTTCAACATGATGCTGTAAATAAAAACCTGCGCCGATGCCTCGCGGACATATTGATGAGCGTGAATCATATTTCAAACTTGAGGCTATAAAACACAGATTGATCAGCTAATCCACTGTAAAAGAAATGACAATTTTGTTTGTTTGCTTTGTTGTCATCCATTATTAACTAAATGTGAACCACAAAACTGTTGTGAATGTTTCTGTGTTTTAGATCATAAACTACCTCCTGATGTACCTGGACAATCACACAGCATTATTGTGGTGGTGCTGGTGCTGGCCGTTGTCTTGTACAAAAGATTTGGTAGGTGGCAAATATACATCCATTATAACCAGATAGCAGTGGAGTGGAATTTTTATATTCTGTAAAAGAAAATACACAAAACATTTAATTCCACAATAATGTCTCCTCCTCCCTCAAGAGAAAACAAAACAAACTGAAAAACTGAACATTAAAATCATCCAGCATCCAGAGATCCTGGTCATTGGCTCCCAGCAGATGGCAAAGCAAATACTGCCATCTGCTGGTTCCCCAGTGAATCACAGAATCTTGGTGTCTGGTTCGACAGTAGTTTCAGTTTTGAGCACCAGCTTAGAAATATATCAAAAATTCGATTTATGTTAACTTTTAAGGACACCGAGACCATTTTACACACCTTCATCTCATCACGCCTGGATTATTGCAACAGCCTTTTCACCTGTTTAACCCAAAATCTATTGATCGACTCCAGACTGTCCAGAACTCAGCTGCCAGGCTTTTAACCAGAACAAAGAAATATGACCACATTACTCCTATTTTAGCTTCATTACACTGGCTCCCAGTATGTTTTAGAATTGACTTTAAAATTCTATTGATCACTTTTAAAGCTCTTCTTGGCCTCTCGCCTTGTTATATTTCTGACCTTTTAGTCCCATACGCACCAGCACGTACCTTGAGATCCTCGGGCAGAGGTCTGTTGTCTGTTCCAGAGTCTCGAGTGAAAACTAAAGGGGACAGAGCGTTTGCTGTCAGGGCCCCGAGGCTCTGGAACAGCCTGCCCGAGGAAATCAGGTCGGCTGAGTCAGTGAACTCTTTTAAGTCCCTTCTGAAAACATACTTTTATAGGAGAGCCTTTCCTGATTTTATTCTATTTATTTTTATATATTTTATATTTACGTATAACAAGTGTTTTCTTGTATTTATCGTACATTTGTTTTTATGTGTTTTATTGCCTTTGCACTTGTCAAAGTACTTTGTAACTTGTTTTTGAAACATGCTTTATAAATAAAGAACAAATAAAAGAAATAAAAAACTAATTTAACTTTATACATTGTAGTTCTTGCATTATAGAGTTACCTAAAATGCCATATCACTGACTTCATCTATGATTTATTAACATTGACTTTATTCACAGCTGCTGACAACAGTGGACCCAACACTGCCCAAGGTAACTACTTTATTTCTCTTGAAGTCTCATGAAGTTCATTGTTCAGAGGTTACTCTTACTTTATGACTGAACAAAATGAAATGCTGTCTGGTTTGTGATCTCTCTGCATGTTGCTGTCTCTTACTGATTTATTAAACATATATTGCTGCTAGTACTAAACTGGGTACACACACTACAGCAGATAACCAGTACAGGTTTAGGAACTCAACTCATTGTTGCTTTTGGTCTTTTTACTTGAATTATTGATCTTGTGGAAATTGTATCTTGCTGTTGGCAAATGAAGCAAATAATTGAGTAAGAACCAACTGTTGTCTTTGAAGAATTAATAAAAGGGAATAAACAGAGAAGTGCTAAAACACATATACAGCTGGTCTAGAGACCTGCTGCGTAGGGCGGCTTCGGGCGTCTGGCTCAGAGACGCAAAGGGATGCATCATCATTCACACAGTCTAGGTTTCTATGTTTTGGGAACAGAGATCCTCTCTCAGCCTTGAATGAACATTCCAGGAGAGGAGAGGAACAACAAGACGGGGAAAACAGCAAAACAATCTCACAGCTCTGACCTGAACCCTAGTAAATGTGGACAGACTAACAGTAAAAGTATAGAAGGAAAGACATATATATCTCTAAGACATAGCAATAATAGTAATAATAATAGTAAAAGAACATACATAAAAGATGAGATGTAAGAGGACACAATTTTCTGCCATAACAATTGACAAAAAGAAAAATAACATTGTTACCTAAAATACCGTGCCACTGACTTCATCTATGGTTTATTAACATTGTCTGTGTTAACATTGTCTTTATTCACAGGAGCTGGACCCGACCCTGTCCAAGGTAAATACTTTAGTTCTCTTTAAGTCTCATGAAGTTCATTGTTCAGAGGTTACTGTAACTTTATGGCTGAACAAAATTAAATGATGTTGGGTTTGTGTGCTCTCTGCAAGCTGCTTGAGCTAAGAACTAGGCAAATATTTAGGCGACCTAGCCTGAAAAGTTATAAGGCGATGGGCCTTAAGCCTAGTTCACACTACACGATTTAAATGGGTTAAATGAGAGGTTGATCGGCGGTCGCCAGTGGTTATGTGTGAACTACTCAATGATGCATCAAAACGTCTCCCCGACACATTTCTGACATATCGCCGACATCTGCCAGATATCAGAGTCGGCCGACTCAACATCTACATCCAGCCAATGCACTGCAAAAACAATTTTTACTCCCCTCAGCTCATCGTGTAGTCAGCAACAAGCCTTAAATGCTTCATGTGTGTAGACAATAACCCCCGTAACACAGTGGACGACACCAGTCCCAATGTTCAATACCCAATACTAAAGGTTTGGGATCGGGACATCCCTCTACTCAACTCTTTATTTTTGGTCTTTTCTATGGAAGATTTTATAGGACTTTAATATTTGTAACCCACAGAAAACAATCCACAAATGTGTATTATGATGCGCAAATATTTCACTATCTATCTACTATCTACTATTTCCCTATACAAGTATGTATTTGTACATCTGTGTTGTGTAAATCATATCCACAAAAATACAGTGCAATTTGCAAATATGTACAATTTACTCTGTACAAACATATTTTCATTTCACATACAAAGTGTTATTTACGCATTTGTGGATCTATTTTTACACACAAAACAGTTTTAGCACATTTACGGATCATTTCCTGTCAATTTGCAGGTCACAATACATTTGTGACGCATTTGTGGAATTTTGTCCACTCTGTACCACAGAGATCTGTAAACAGAGATCTGTAAACGTGAGATCTGTAAACGTGAGATCTGTAAACGTGAGATCTGTAAATGTGAGATCTGTAAACAGAGATCTGTAAATGTGAGATCTGTAAACAGAGATCTGTAAATGTGAGATCTGTAAATGTGAGATCTGTAAACAGAGATCTGTAAATGTGAGATCTGTAAATGTGAGATGTGTTAACAGAGATCTGTAAATGTGAGATCTGTAAACAGAGATCTGTAAACAGAGATCTGTAAATGTGAGATCTGTAAACAGAGATCTGTAAATGTGAGATCTGTAAACAGAGATCTGTAAATGTGAGATCTGTAAACAGAGATCTGTAAATGTGAGATCTGTAAATGTGAGATCTGTAAATGTGAGATGTGTTAACAGAGATCTGTAAATGTGAGATCTGTAAACAGAGATCTGTAAACAGATCTGTAAATGTGAAATCTGTAAACAGAGATCTGTAAATGTGAAATCTGTAAATGTGAAATCTGTAAATGTGAGATCTGTAAATGTGAGATCTGTAAATGTGAGATCTGTAAACGTGAGATCTGTAAACAGAGATCTGTAAACGTGAGATCTGTAAACAGAGATCTGTAAACGTGAGATCTGTAAACAGAGATCTGTAAATGTGAGATCTGTAAATGTGAGATCTGTAAACAGAGATCTGTAAATGTGAGATCTGTAAACAGAGATCTGTAAATGTGAGATCTGTAAATGTGAGATCTATAAACAGAGATCTGTAAATGTGAGATCTGTAAACAGAGATCTGTAAATGTGAGAGCAGTTTATTAGCTACACCAGCAGGTGGCGGTAGCGACATTGCCTCTCATGAGTTGTAAGATTATGTATTGCAGTACCCAGGATCATCTGATGGAGACAACAACTTCTGCTTCTGAGAGACAACTGGACTCTTCTCTATCTAAACTTTTTGTGCATATGTATATAGTTTACTATTGAATACTTTATCACTGTATTTGTTTTACATTTTTATTTAACTATTATTTGACTACATTTGAAAGTACTGTTGTACCTACTGTTTGTAGGAGCTATTGTAAACCCTATGTATAAGGTTATTTCCATTTTCCGTTGAGCTTTTGCATGAAAAACTGTATTTTTTTTTAAACATTTGCGCATCGTAGTACACATTTGTGGATTGTTTTCTGTGGGTTACAAATATTAAAGGGCAATAAAATCTTCCATACTTTTCATGTAGTTTATTGACAAACAGGAAAATACTGAATAAGGCCAACCTTATGCTTTAAAGTTGTCGCATCACCAAAATGCACTTTTGTCATAGAAAATACATGAAAAAGCAAAACCAGACAGGCCTCTGTGTTTTCATGATCTATTGTGTGTTTGTGTGTATCCACATGTAAAATAACACTTGTTTTCATTCTTACAGCCACCAGCTCAAATAACCAAAACACCATCTCAGTGCAAAGTGTTCTGGAACAGAGGGATGAGGATCAAGACTGAAGTCTCTGCAGATTGTAATATAATATTATTGCATCATTGCAATATTATTATTATTATTACATATAATAATATCATTTGACAGGGGTCTGTGTGGATCTTGGTTTTTAAATTAATCAGTATTAAACTACATACAGGAAGGGACATTATTTATTTTGACTGAATTGATTCATAGCCATTTACAGTGCCTTTTTGGAATTTACTACTAATCAAAGTAAACTTCACATTACTGCCAACAATTTGATAGGAAAACTCTTTTGGTTTCATTTAATTTTAATATTTATTCTTTTATTTATGTTGTGAAAACAAACTTGAATTGAATTTAGACTTGCTTAAGATGTCAAGTCAACATTATGTTTGCTTATAACTGACATTAATTAGATAGAACGGATGTTTGGTTTGTTGGATTATGTAACCTGAGTTTGTTTTTACAAGACTAGAAGTGAATGGAAACCAATAGGTTTTGAGTGAGAGATAATCAGGGATAATTTAAGTGCTGCTTATCATTTAAAACTGTTCAAGTTTTAAATGATCATGAGTGAGAGATAATCAGGGAGAGATATCATTTAAAACTTTATTTAAAAAGTTTTAAATGAGCTCTTGAAAAATGTCTTTGAAGCTGCTGATTGTAAAATGTGCTCACTTAGTGTTTTGGATTTATGAAAGGACTTTAAATCACTAAACTTATTACTGTTAAAAAGTTTTACTGTTAACAGATTATTATATATAATTATTATTATTAGTTATTTAGTTGTTTCTGGTGGGTTTTCATGTTGTATTGTCTTCAACAAATGTAATATTATTTTCTGGATTTTAAATGTTTACTCTTTTGGGTTCTTGGCACTTTGAAAGTATTGTTATTCTGATGGTTATTACTTGCTTAAGTGTGAGGATTATTTTGCTTAATTGCCTGTAGTTAAAGTTCCCTCCTGGTGATAATAATTGTAATGATGATTGTTTAACAATGTTTCTGAAAATACAATGAAATATTTCTACTTCAGTATCAATCTGTCGGTCCAAAAAATCTCCAGTGAATCCTGCATTATCTGCATTATGTGTGTTATGATTAATTTGCTCAACGACAACATTAAGACAGTAGTGACAAATATTAAATATTTGCAGCTTCTGTCTGAAACAGTTCAAATTAGATAAGTAACTCCATGTGGAGTTTTCATTGGCCTCTAGCAGTGAGGTCTCAGATTACAACCACTAATTTCTAAGCTGCGTTTGTCAAAACAGAGACTGACAAACCATAGACGACATCACACACCAAACATGGACATCCACATAGACTTGATGTTGTAGAAGCTACTTTTGTCAGTTCCTGACTATGGTGATATACTGTAAATGCATGCTTCAGCTGCAGTGCTGAGGCCTCTTGATGCAGTGTATCATGCTGCCTTGCGGTTTATTCAGACGTTCCAAATATCGGTCTTAAAGATTTGCGGCAAAGCTTATTCTGAGCAGAGAAAACTGCCTTTGAAGATAATATCCAAATTACAGGAAAGGTTTAAGCTAGATGTCTTGGTTTCTACAGGACAATTTAAAGCCACGTGGAATTTAAGGCCGTATGATTTCCGGTAAACGCGGACGGGAATCGCGATAATAGAAAAATAATTTGATAATAGAAATGGAATCGGCTGTTAAATGCGGAATATCTCAAACTCTGCTAAAATGTGTTTGCATTTTAAAAAAATCGGGGGTTTCCCCTATCAAGCCACTTTTTCCACAGCACTTCAGCAAAACAAACAGAAAAACTATACTGCTATGTTGTATGTTATGTATGGGATCCTTTTATTTAACTTAACTTTATTTAAGTTTTACGTGGGTTAAGGATTTTAGTCATCCGACATGGATTTTAAGATAGATGACCGTAAAAACGCGATCAACGCTACTGATCGCAACAAAGCTCCGGTGACTATGCAAGCCGAGATAACTCTGCCCCTTGAGGACTGCTCACTCCTTAAGAAAGCGAACAAGAAGATTGATGACCTTATGGAAGATATCCGACGACTTTCAGAGGAACTCAAAGAGAAAGATTCCCTGCTGACTGGCTTTATGGATGTAGCTTCAGTACAAGCCAAACAGATTGTTTCTCGTAGCACAACCGCTAACATCCAGGACACCGTGTTTTGGGACCCCTCTAGTCTTCCCAGGCTTTCATCCTGCTCGACTCCGAAGCATCAGTCAACCTGGGCTGAAGTGGTGGTCCGTGGCTGCAAGAGAGGCTCGGATGGGGCTGCCTCTCCTCCGGACATCGGCCTCTCCAACCGCTATGCAGCCTTGTCTAACGACACTCCGGTCCATCCAGCGGATTCACCTGCGGCTTCGAGTCTCCCTGATACGGATCTCTTTCGGCGCACAGCGCCTGCCGACACTGTTGCATCTCCGCCACCGGCTACATCTCCTGCACTGGGCCGCCGGTCTGCCGCCGGACTTGATCGGCGGCCGTCATCCCGGTCAAAAACCTCCGCTTCCCGACGTAGGATCCTGAAGGAGGCTGTGCTCAGACGCTCCGGAGGCCGTCTCTACCCTGCACCGTCGGGTAGCTCTTCTCTCAGGTCTGTTACTGCTACTCCAACACAACACTCAACAGCTCACACACTCCATCCTCAGTCCGCACGCAGTGTTGAAGCAGATTCTGCTCAGTCCTGCTCTGGATCCCAACAACCAGCATCTCCTCGTCCTCTTTTCTCCCCAACCACACTAATAATTGGTGACTCCATAACCAGAAACCTCCGTTTCTTTAACGCTACCACTCGCTGCTTCCCCGGTGCCACCACGGCTGACATTTTAAAAAACTCCAGGACCTGATGCCGTCGCTCCCGTCCTCCATCACAAGAGTGATAGTCCATGTTGGAACAAATGACAAAGCTCTTCGGCAGTCTGAGCTGACAAAATTAGATTTTAACCGTCTTTTTAACTTTTTAAAGCAGTGCGGAAAGTCCGTTTTTATCTCTGGTCCCATTCCCACAGTTGGTCGCGGTGCTGGCCGCTTCAGTAGACTCCTTGGCCTCCACGACTGGCTCCAGTCCGCCTGCAGGGCTCACCGTGTGTTATGTGGATAATTTTAATATTTTCTGGCAAAGAATGTCTCTTTTTAAGACAGACGGACTTCACCCAAACAAACGGGGCTCAGAATTGTTAGCTGCGCACATACAGCATGTGGTGCGGTCCACACATGACTTACGTGAATGACTCATCATTCATGCAGCACACCTGGACACACCACCGCTCACTGAACAGATCTCTGCCTCACTGCCACAAACAACTGTCTCCACCTGCTGGCATGTAAAGCCGTCTGCTCCCAGCGCTGTTCCACAGACTTCTATTCCTGTCATCATCACACATAGACCAGTAAACCGAAATGTGCACATCCCACACAGAAATATTAGTAATCTCTTAAGGATTAGGACAACTGCACCAACTCCAGCACCCAGAACAAACTCATTTAAAATGGCTCTCTTCAATGTGAGATCACTTTCAAGTAAGACTTTTATCTTAAATGATTTTATCCTGTCTGCAAATCTAGATTTTATGTTTTTAACTGAATCCTGGTTGCAGATGAATGACTATAGCCAGCTAGCTGAACTGTGTCCGCCTCAATATGATTGCTTTAGTCAACCGAGGGTCAGTGGTCGTGGTGGTGGGCTAGTGAGCGTGTATAGGAAAAATTTTAAATGTCATCAAGTACGCTGTGATGAATTTAGCTCCTTTGAAGTTCTCACTCTTAAAGTTGGAGGGCTGCAACCTATCATATTTGTTATAATTTATCGCCCCCCAAAACCGCCTGGAGGATTTTTATCAGAACTTCCTGAATTTTTATCTACTCTGGTTTTAAATTATGACAGAATTGTTCTTTGTGGCGATTTTAATATTCATGTTGATGACCCCAACAATGTTAATGCAACTGACTTTTTAAATATGGCCACTTCTTTTAACTTCAAACAACATGTCAAAGGGCAAACACATAACCGTGGTCATACACTGGACTTGGTTTTTACCCTGGGTGTCAGCATTTCCTCTGTGGAATTAGTGGACATGACCATATCTGACCACAGATGTATTGTTTTTAGCTGCGATTCGCCTGTTACTCATGCCGCCTCACCAAGCTCCGTGTGTTGTCGCATCTTTAATGAACAAAGTGTTTCAAAGTTTTGCGCAGTCTTTCAGAGCCAAAGCCAACACCTGTCTGATTCCAACACCAACAATCTGGTCGATCACTTCAATCATATCTGCTTGTCGTCACTAAATATTACTGCTCCTCTAAAGGTTAGGCCTACGTCTAAAGCTAGTAAACAACCCTGGATAAATGACAGCATTCGCAGCCTAAAAAGGGAATGCAGGAAAGCAGAGCGCAGATGGAAAAAATCCAATCTCCAAGTCCATTACCTCAGTCTGAAGGATTTATTAATTAACTACAATAAAATGGTTAAGGATGCGAGAACACACTATTTTTCTGAACTCATTACTACACATAAACACAATCCCAGGTTTCTGTTTAAGACTGTGGATCAGCTGGAAGTAATGATGACTGTGAATTGTTTTTATCTTATTTTACCAATAAGGTGGTGTCAATCAGAGCCTCTATTTCCCCCGCGGCCTCTTACTTAGAGGTTCCTCACCAGCAACAACAGAGTTTTAACCAGTTTTATCCCATCGACTTGTCTGAGCTTTTAAAAACAATATCACAAATGAGAGTGTCCTCCAGCCCACTTGATATAATACCTACAAAATTTTTACTAAAAGTAATAGATTCTGTTGGGCCCCATTTGATCTCTGTTTTCAACAGCTCCCTATCTACTGGTTGTGTCCCTGATTATTTTAAAACGGCTTGCGTGAACCCACTTTTAAAGAAACCTGGTTTAGATCCCTCCCTCCCACAAAATTTTAGACCAATTTCAAAACTGCCTTTTATTGCAAAGATTCTAGAAAGAATTGTGTCCAAACAGCTGCTCACTGTGCTGGAAAATAAAAAATATTTGAAAAGTTTCAGTCTGGTTTTAGGAAGTACCACAGCACTGAGACTGCCCTGCTTAAAGTCACCAATGACCTTTTAATGTCTGCTGATGAAGGTATGTGCTCAGTCCTTGTACTCCTGGACCTTAGCGCTGCTTTTGACACCATTGATCACAACATCATGTTAGACAGACTGAGGCACTGGGTGGGGATCTCTGGTACTGCTCTAGAATGGTTTTCATCCTACCTGTCAAATAGGAAGTTTTGCGTGTCTG